ATGTTATTTACTCAAGGGAACATATCATTGTTTATTTAATCAAGGGGCACATGTTATTTCCTCAAGGGGCACATGGTATTATGTTATTTCCTCAAGGGGCACATGGTATTATGTTATTTACTCAAGGGCCACATAGTATTATGTTATTTACTCAAGGGAACATATCATTGTTTATTTAATCAAGGGGCACATGTTATTTCCTCAAGGGGCACATGGTATTATGTTATTTACTCAAGGGCCACATAGTATTATGTTATTTACTCAAGGGAACATATCATTGTTTATTTAATCAAGGGGCACATGTTATTTCCTCAAGGGGCACATGGTATTATGTTATTTCCTCAAGGGGCACATGGTATTATGTTATTTACTCAAGGGCCACATAGTATTATGTTATTTACTCAAGGGAACATATCATTGTTTATTTAATCAAGGGGCACATGTTATTTCCTCAAGGGGCACATGATATTATGTTATTTACTCAAGGGCCACATAGTATTATGTTATTTACGCAAGGGGCACATATCATTGTTTAATTATTCAAGGGGTACATCTTCTGTTTGGTGAAGATAAGAGGCACATATTACAGTTTTACTTATTCAAGGGGCACACCATGGGGCACATCTTACTGTTATTGTTTTCCTTTATTCAAGAGGCACATGATGTTGTTTGCCTATGGGTATTCTAACATTGAAGACAACTCTGTTCTAATTCGACAATGGTTGCGTGCATTTCTTCTAATGCGACAATGGTTGCGCGTACTTGTTCTAATGCGACAATATTTGCGTGTACTTGTTCTAATGCGACAATATTTGCGTGTACTTGTTCTAATGCGACAATGGTTGCGCGTACTTGTTCTAATGCGACAATGGTTGCGCGTACTTGTTCTAATGCGACAATATTTGCGTGTACTTGTTCTAATGCGACAATGGTTGCGCGTACTTGTTCTAATGCGACAATATTTGCGTGTACTTGTTCTAATGCGACAATGGTTGCGTGCATTACTTCTAATGCGACAATGTTTGCGTGTACTTGTTCTAATGCGACAATGTTTACGTGTACTTGTTCTCATGTGACAATGGTTGTGTGTACTTGTTCTAATGCGACAATAGTTGCGTGTATTTGTTCTAATGCGTCAATGTTTGCGTGTATTTGTGTTGACAATCCTTTTCTATACTGCTGCTAAGAACGGAACAAGTTATACAAAGAGTTCCAATTCCAATGCCAACTCACATACAGAGTTTGAATTAAACGTGACATCTTCTACCGGTTAGGTTGATGTCATCACATTAATGTAAATATATCACAACACATGATATTCAGTACTATTTCATACCACGACACCGGTTTATTAATCCGTATTACAATAATATATTCAACAGTTCAATGCCTTTTGCGCGGAAGTTACTTCTGAAACTGACAACTAACCGCCCGGTTTTCCCACCCAACGCCCCGTCATTCATGGCGGAGTCATTGTTGCGGAAATAAATATGTCCTCTTTCTATTATTCTTCACATGAACCAACAGACACCAGCGTAAAATAGAGATATTTTTATAGCATGGATCACTCTAAGTTTTCGGTTATGAAACAGCTCATACAGTATGAAAAAGGCTGACATCGTTGACTCAAGTATTATAATTAATATTATGTACAGATTAAAATAAAAATGCCCCCAAAGAGGGTTTGGGTGATCCTGGCACAGTCAGGCTCGTTAGGCTCATCATCATCATCATCATCATCATCATCATCATCATCATCATCAATAGTGTGATACTTCATACTCATAACAGTACGGACGCTAGATCTGTAATAAGTTGTTTACAAGTTTGAAAAATATAGTTGTTAGTAAATGTCCGTTAGTTGTTGCAACGCATATCTCTCAATGAATGAAAATGAATGTATGTTTAATGGTGTTCAATTTATTATCTATGATTCAAAAGGTTCTATATCTTGTACTAACGTCATAGCGTAATCATAGATATTCTATACCCTGCTTCTGTTCGTTCTTCCTATCTATTGTATAATATTGTAATAGGAAGTTGTAGATAATATAGAGAGGGCGTTCTGTTGGACAACATGTCCCAAATCCGTTTCTGTTGTGAATAGAATATGTTTAAAGCAATTAATTATTGTCAGAACAAATAAACAATTCTCATTTAATCAGCAAAACTCCTTGTACGTTTTGTAGATTTTCATGTATTCACGCCCATCAGACTAGGATTTTGTGATCCATCAACAACAACCGCAAATATATCGCTGCTATAGACCATACTGTTGACATTCACAATCATATCACAGACCTCTCGCACACAAGTCCAGATCGGGACGGTTCATGCGTGTATACAATAGCGATAACTACCAATGCATATATATTTTTTCATAAGAAGAGTTCGTTAAAGCAGTTCAATATAATATACTTCTCGGTTAAATGTACGACATTTCTTTATACTACACTGCTGCCCTATGGGAACTTGTCTCAGTTATATGGATAAATTCAAGTTACATGACTTATCATCACGCAGTTGCGGGTTTCGAATTCAAAACTCGTGCTGACGATTCTGGTTAAAAACGAAGTTTACATGTTTTGCGTTTACATTCTTAACTTGTTAAAAACTTAAAGCATATTCACGTATTTACTGTTATCGGGTCACGCTGACCCATTCTCCGGGGAGTCAGATGATAAGCCGACCCGGATGTACACGGACTGTAACATATTGACCGAGAAGATTTCAATAGATACATAATAATATTTTACACCTTTTCGTCTCGCATTCAAGCCCGTCGGAGTCAAAGTCTAATACCTGATTGTGTCGTATTTCAAAATAGCTTTCAATGATACCCTTTCGCTTTAGGAAGTACACACGTGACGTTTAATAATGTGTTCGTATTATAACATTTCATCTTGATAGATCTAATAGAGTTCGACAACTATACCCGACTGACTTGCATATTGTTGAATAATGCTGGCCTATATCAAGTTGATCCCAATATAATATAAAGGTGTCATATTTTACATAACTTATTGTTGTGTAATTTTTCAGAAATACACTACCGGACAAAGAAAGTACACCCATCTTTGATGGTGGCAAAATATGAAACAAACAAGAAATTGTTATTCGAAGCGATTTATTTGATACGGGTATAATGATGGTGTTTAGGACTTTAAGTTTGAAGTTTGTCGGCCTAGTAACATTTTGATGACGTGGGTAATTTGTTGGTCTTTTGCCAGGTAGATCACTTGTCAAACGCGGTTGTCGAGTAGAGTCGCCCACGCTTCTTCTGGGGAATAGGCCTTTCAGACTGTGCAGTGAAATCAAATCTTTATCTCCCGCTGTATATTTCAAGCGCCTTGACCTAAATGTAACATGTAGTTAACAATTCCCCAGAAATGGTCTTAGATTTAAAGGTTTTTATCAAAGTGTGAATGTCTTGTATTGTCATGCATTATACTTGAACCACATGTCCTAAATACAAGCGTCAGGCTGTCGAGACTAAAACATGTTGTATGATATGGAATATGTAGGCGAACGTGTTATCCAACATGGCCTTTATTGTGGGTCGGTGTGTGTCTTAGACTGTAATATATCTGTTACTTTTTTAATCATTTAGTGGTTGTACTGATAACAATATATATGTTACATTTTTGTGGCCGACTTGCCAAAATATTTTTTTCATTTTTTTCATATTATTTGTTTATTTTTCTAGAGCATGTACACGGTTTTGCATGACAATGAATTCAGAGAAATAGAGCATGACAACTTGACCAAAGCTTATTAAAGTAATCTGTGTTACAATTAATGACGGAAGTATGCTTTGTAAAACAAAAGAAAAAAAAGAAGGAAAAAAAGGGGGAAAAAGTATGCTTTGTTAAATTATAAAATCCAGTGAGCTCCTCCTGTATAAATTGGAGTGTTGGTGGATTGTATTATTTCAAAAGTTGAAAATGATTCGTTTTTGACAAAATAATGATAAGGTTTAAAGGAGTGTTTCTTTTTCGATAAATATCCAGAAAGAACATTTTCTTTGGATATTATTCCCGGGTTTTGCGTTGTGTGCGAAATCTAAATTTCTTCCCACATGGAGCTTGCTTTGTTACATTTCCAAAAGTATATGAATAACATCTACTATTTTATTAGAACAGTAAATACATCTTGTACTGTCTACGTATACCGTTATATTTACAATACAGATTGCTGGCAATATATGATGTAAAACTTGAAACTGAAACCATTGTAATAATTAAATGTAAAATGATAAACGCGAGGCTCTAAAAGTATTTCTAAATATCAATCAAAACGTTCGTTCATCGAACTAATTAACCAACTGTCTTAATTAATCCAAGATATCCGCTGTAGCACTGTGGTGTCCTTTGCATAACTATCTATAACCTGCATTTTTGGTTATTAATTTACTTTGACAAAAATATTGAAGAATTGATTAACATATGTAGACTTTATATATGCGGTTGGTTATGATATCAACGAAAAATGGATTTATTGGGTGTTGAAAAAGTAATTATGTTTTTTGCGACACGTGACCAGTGCTAGTTCTACTCAGGATTACTGACAAATGTGTCCTAGAAAGTGTATACGAGATTAAATTTGTATTTATTTACTTAAAATCGTTTGCAATGTACATATTGTTTCGTGGTACGTTATTAGCGCATGTACATATCAATCGGAGTTTCTGGTCATGCAGCACTCGCCCTGTTCTGGATAGCGGTTGTGTACCGAACATGGCTCGTCATTCTGCTTTGAAACAAGAGATGTGGTAATCACACATGAGTTATTCCCCTTTGACCGGATCAGCCCTTGAATTCGGCCCGAATCAGCGGATTAAATTTGAGAAATAGTCACTGGTTGTCACTGATTGTCTGTCAGTGAGACATGACTGTCACGATCTCACAAAACACATGTATTGGGCTATAGGGAGAATCTGTTCCACGGTTGCTAAATGTCAGTATATAGTCATGTTATCAAAGGGTCAAGTAGATACTTACATTCGCACACGTAAGCACAATTTGATGCAGAAATTCCCCGGGTATATTCCTAGGAGAACATAGAGGTATCGTCCATATACAGGCATGGCTGTAACTGGAGTTAACCAGGAAGAACCGTTGGATAGAAATTACCCTCGGCATGTGATCACCGATCACTTGATAGTGGTGTGCATTGCATAGCGTGCCGATTTCTCGGAATCGCTCACCTGGGCTATGCCCGCCCACTCACTTGTGTCAGTATCAGTGCAACAGCGATAGGCATGACAACATTCCTGTTTAGGATTTTTATACACATTGGGGGCGGCTTTAAGACTTAAGAAAATCACAACCTTGCAAATTTACAATCAGTAGAGTCGAAAACAACAGAGGGGTGGAAGGAGGCTTGTGGACCAATAGTAATGTGTATGGACACCAAGGGCATTACGTCACATACCACCGCACCCCCTGTTTATTGAAAATGGACTCTTCCTTTGAGCGCGGAACGCCTACTGTTCCCCAACTCGGTATTGATTTGTGTTTGTTCAGCAGTATATTAATATACACGTGATTCGGGTACGTGGGTGCATTATTTTATGAGATCTCGAAGCGGGTTAATTTGTCGCATGTGGTGAAATTACACATACAAAATCTGCAGCAATATCTTTTGCATATCTACGAGTTTCAGAGTATCTTTTGATAGATGTGGTATATACCTGTTCAACTACATCATGATATTTCCATATTTCTGTACCCATATAGCAAAAGAGTTGCATTTTGATTAAGAAAAATAGAACACGTGAAAGGTCAAGCCCGAAGAGGGGTCAGTGGGAATCGAACTCAGAACCATCGAATGCTTGCACTCCTACACAACACCACCAGGCCACGTGATCTAATCTAACCTTGGGACAACGTTGTTTTGACCGGCTGTCCAACGTTGGGCCAACGTGTCTAAATATCGTACGTTGGCCCAACGTAAGTGATGACGTTGGCCCTACGTCTGACTGCCATCCAGGCAGAAACCACCACCCAGAAAGAAAGGGGGACAGGTGTTTTCATAGTGTCTTTTTACTTTCAAGTATGAGGTAAAAATAAAATTTGTAGGTGACACTGTGTGTGTGTGTGTCTGTGTGTGCAAAAATTACATAAGCAACTTCGATATATGAATTATTTTGTTTTAAATTGTTGTCAGTGACCATAACTGTGTTGCTGTTGTAGTAACAACAGAAGCAGTAGAAGTTGTAGTGTTGCTGTTGCAGCAGTGGAAGTTGCTGTGTTGCTGTTGTAGCAGGAAATAATATGGTGTTGTTGTAGTGTGTGTGCGCGCGCGTATGTGTGTGTGTGTGTGTGTGTTTCGCTACCAATACACTACACTACACTACACTACACTACACTACACTACACTACACTGACCTAGCTGTAGAATTATGTTTCTAGGTTTGTCAGCACCATACCCGTGCTCGTGGGTTTCACCGAAGTGGTAAACGTCTCAGACCTGCATCACTTCGGGCTCTCCTCCCACATTAAGTTGACACGCCGTGATATAACTTGAATACTGTTAAACCCAACTCACTCACCCAGCTGTAAAGTCAGAACTGTGGTTCTAGCCATTACGAGATTGTATTCATAAAAAAGCCATATTTTGTTGTGTTTGCAGTACCACAAGAGTCTGTGCACTGGTGAGCGATTCATGTCTTCAAAAAAGCCTTGCTTTCATCGTTGTCATATGTTGTACAGCTGTGGTTGTGTGTTTGTCATGCAGTCGACATCCACACGTCACTTCCGGCAACATATGGTCAGCGTCCCGGGATTGGTATCAGTGCAGATGTACTGGTGCTGTTTTTGTAGTGTGACTGTGCAGACTCTGCAATATGCTGCACATAATGTGATCATTCTTTCGAAATCGATATACGCATACTTTATTCTCCGTTATAGTGTAGCAGGTGACATGATCTATTTCTTTCATAACGCATGCGATTATTAACCACAGCACTTCATGACCTTGCCTCTGTGGTAGTAGGGCACGTAGGTTCGAATCCGATTCTCTCTGGTTGTATTCACGGTTTGTCAGGGCCAAACCCGTGCTCCTTGTGAGCGTCTAAGACCTCAATCACTACGGGAATTCACTACGGCTTCATAGAGGTGAGGTGAGGTGAAATGGGTTTAACGTCGCGTCCAAGATTATTGCACTTATATAGCGACGTGCATGAACGTGTGTGTGTTTGTGTGGCTGCTTGTACTAATCCGGACTGATGCCGATTTATAGTGCTAGCACACTGAGGTACCATGCCGCAGTTTAACATGAATACCCCACTCAGACACAGTATACTGACTCCGAGCCGACCAGTCCTTGTTTTAGCCCCGTAATGTCGAGCGCCAGACAGGGTAACAACAAGTATCATCTTTTAACGTATTTTTGTATGACGCGGCCGGGGATCGAACCCCGGACCTTCCGCTCTCCGGGCGGACGCTCTACCACTAGACCACGGAGGCGGTCTGGCTGCATAGACAATCATGTCTCTGTAGTTATCACTACTTACTGGAATGTCCATTTCCACGAACAAACACGTTTAATATAGTAACTGAAATTTATATAAACAAGCTGATAAGTCAGTGTTGTTAAACGACCTCTCATGTCGGCTACGGTGAACATGTGGGAGGCGATATTCCAGCAATATCACGGCGGGGGACACCAGAAATGGGCTTCACACATTGTACCCATATCGGGAATCGAACCCGGGTCTTCGGCGTGACGAGCGAACGCTTTAACCACTCGGCTACCCGACCGCCCCTTCTTGACCTTGTGAACCAATGAAGTACTCGCAATACCATTTGACCTTTTGTATTGAAATTCCATTTAACCTTATGTGAAAATACTATTAACTGTAATAAATGTAATCAACCGAAAGTTTCTTTTTCATTTGTGTGTGCTGAATATCCTTAATTCTGATTTTGATAAGTGACATTTATTACATAACGCTGATCATGCAAATACTTCAGGTAGGGCTACCAAAGTTGTAAAAACTTGTGACCAATGCTTGTGAATAAAATATGTTTAAATAAAAATCAAATGTATCTAAAGCAGTATATTACAACTCTCAGTAGGAGGTATACGACATATTTATAAGCCCCAAGAATAAAGTTAATTATGTAATAGTCCAGCTGGGACAGAAACGCTCAAACTGTTATTATTTGGCGAATTAAACCGCATCGAACACTTTAAGCACTGGCCTCACTCATCGCCGTCCACGCATCTACAGTGGGTGAGTGAGTATGGTTTTACGCCGCTTTAGCAATATTTCAGCATTATCACGGCAGGGGACACCAGAAATGGGCTTCACACAGTGTACCGTGGAATCGAACCCGGGCCTTCAGCGTGACGGGCGAACGCTTTAACCACTAGGCTACCCCACCGCCCCTACGCATCTACAGGACACTCGCTCAGTGAAAGCACAAAATAAAACGCTCTTGGTAATAAACAGTTTAATCCATCTCTGAAACTCATACAAAAATCAGCCACTCGTCAAATATCGCAATCCAAACTAAATATTTGCATATACATAAACAACGTCGCCCCGGGCGATTAATATCACTGTGTAATGCGGTAACAACTCCCTTGTTACAAAATAGAGGATTTGAATGAGGTACAGTTATTTGTAAACAGCAGCACAACTAACTACAAAAGTCACTAATCATTAGTGAGATCGGCCAGGAAATGGCGATTGTCGAGGTTGTAGATCACGGAGGCTTCATCTCCCGGTAGTGCGGGCTCAAAGTCATTTGAAAGCAGGTTCACGGAGGTTTCAACAGGAAGAAATTTCTTCGTGTCGTCCTGAAAGAAGTCGTAGAAACTCTCATCTTCGGACGTGGTGTTTGAGATGGCTGGGGAAAATGAACCACATCGGCCATTTTGAGGAGGTGTCACGTGACCTTTATGACATGCGCGTGTGAGCATGTGATGGACGAGCATGGCCTCAAGTCGGCGCTTCTCCTCTCGCAGTTCAGCCACTTCCTCTTCGAGTTTTTGTCGCTTGTCGCTTTGCTCTGAGAATAACTGAAAAGAAATGACAGTGTATTTCAGAGACGGGACACAAGGTGTGGTAAAATACACAAGACTTCAACCAATTCTTGTTTCCAAAACGATTTAAAAAAGAACATGAGAAATCCGAGACATTTTTTAATCCTTTTCCCTGGTGTGTTCGGTGTTCATAAAAACATATGTTATAAAGTTTTTATTAGCTTTTCGTATTTCGGGTAATTTGAGACTTATTTACATGTTGGAATTAATTGAAAATGTCAGTGTGGATTTTTAAAGACTCTGACGAACCAATGATCATAATAGGTACGGCCCAAGATTCGAACCAACGACCATCGGATCCGGTTGATTGTAAGGGACGCAACTCTCACATCGTATTGCTGCGCTTTGTACATTATTTTCATCAACATTTTATATTGGTTAGTATCAAAGAGATTGCGATGGAAGGGCTAATCATAGCGTTCATGTAAGCGGCCTGTAAGTGAGGGGGTCGGGAGCCGGAGTACCTGCAGGAACGTCTCTTGCTCCTGGCGTTTCTTCTTCCGGCATCTCTGAGCTGCCACCCGGTTCTGTGCACGTCTTCGCTCCTGCTTCGCCACCTCGTCCGCCGTCAGCTGCAGACAGACACCACACACGGTCAGTGAGTGAGTGAGTGAGTGGGAGGCTGGTGCGTGGGAAGGAGGGGGTGGGGGGGGGGGGGGGTGGGGGGGGGGTGGGGGGGGATCATTGACATCATGAGTAGTAGTAGTAGTAGTAGTAGTAGTAGTAGTAGTAGCATCGCACCCGACGGCGTGAATCGATTACCTACAGACCGCCGTCATACACTGGATAGTTGAACACACAACACACACACTACACACACATATCCTATACACACACTACACCTCAACTACACCTACACTACATACACAGTACACACACACTACACACAGATATACTACACACACACACTACACCTACACTACACACAAATACTACACACACACTACACACAGATATACTACACATACACACTACACTACACACACACTACACCTACACTACACACTACACACATATACTTCACACACACACCTACACTACACTACACACACACACCTACAATACACTACACACACAGACACTACTACACACACACACACAAACACACACACACACACACACCTACACTACACACACACACACACTATTGTTACGTTAAGTACCATAGCGACTGTATTAGTAAATATTGACACAACAACTGCCTCGTGTTTACAGTGGACTATTGTGCAGGCGTCCTGTCATCTCTTCATCATTTCGACTCCCGAGACAACACAAAGAGAGAACCTCTCAAGTGTCCTTCCACGGAAGAATAATGAGTATTCTTGTTTATTGGGCCTCTCTGTTCATCCTCCGTGTCGATGTCTTATTTCTGGTTTCGAAATTAATTTATTTATGAAGGGGGAGGAATAACGGCTTTATTCAACAGCAGTCCGGTGGGGCGTGTCGGAGTCCAGCTGCTGCTGCTGGTGGCGGTGATGATGATGAACAGTCTGAAGGTTTCAATTCCGCGTATTGATGGAACGGTTGAAGTCATTCCATTGTGAATAGATAAGTGAATTATTTATAATCATACATTAATTTTCCTCAAGCAATGATATTAGCGTTTCTTATCTGCGTAGATTGTGTTTTAATGTGTAGTCAGGTTTGAGAAAACATCATTGTGAATTACTTTTGTTCATGTCTGTAAACGTACTATGATAATGAACACTAGACGGTGAATTTAATGAAATATTGAGGAGTCAATCACTTCGCCAAGATAAAACATGTTTTAGAGAAATGAGTGATTTCAGTTATTAAGCATTAAATTATCAAAGATTAGGAGACAGAAGCTACTACTGCTACTCCTGCCGGTGCTACTATTATTATTACTACTACTACTACTACTACTACTACAACTACAAAAACTGACCCGTGAAGATTCCGGGGTAGAACAGGTCTTCAGCAACCCGTGCTTGCCATAAAAAATGATGTTTGTCGTGAAAGGTGACTAACGGGATCGGGTGGTCAGGCTCGCTGACTTGGTTGATGCATGTCATCGATCGATGCTCATGATGTCAATCACAGGATTGTCTTGTCCAGACTCGATTATTTTACAGACCGCCGTCATAGCTGGAATATTGCTGAGTGCGGCGTTATACAACAAACAATCAAACAAACAAACAAACTACAGACGCTGCTGCTACTACTACTGCTACTACTACTACTACTACTACTACTACTACGACTACAACTCCGACTGCTGATAATCGTGATGGTGCTACTACTACTACTACTACTACTACTACTACTACTACTACTAGTGTTCAGCATTATTACTATATTATTTTCATACCGCACTTAAAGTACAAGAGACGAGACAACGAGTCGATGGTACCTCATACACCGTCGAGCGAGTCTCCTCGTGGGTTATCTCCCCTTGACCGCTCGACAGTCGCCTCAACATGATCGCGGCTCGCAACTCTTCCTTCAGGATGGGAGTCACTTGATGCATGCGACACGCCTCATCTACGGCCTGCTGCAGACGGGGGTCGGGTTTGGCTTGTCCGGGATGAGGCAGATTGGCTGTCAGGATATCATGGGTGTGGTCATTCTGAGACGAACGCCGTGTGTCCGAGTCGGTCATTGTGATCGCGTGCGTCTGAAGTGAAAGGTGCGAATAATGTACAGCTAATGGAAGACACGGTAGGCACGGGACTTGCAATAACTCGCTGAAATTAAAATGTTTGGGGAAAATAGAACGTCACACATGATGACAGAGGGGTTGAAATTGTGTATTTTTTTACAACCAATTTTTTTTTCTATATCTGAATTTAGTTATCTCACGTACAATGCTTTTGTGTCTAACACTCCGACAATGGAATCATTGTCACACACACACACACACACACACACACACACACGCGCAGTTGAACGTGTCACGTGACAACAACCACATCATAAAGTCATCAAATGCACTTGAAGACACCGAAATATAACATAAATCCACATTACTTCCTACAATGAAACGATTTGCTAAATGCACTTACAAGTCAGAACAGAATTAAATGAAGCCAGAATATGTACAAATATAATTATAGTGCGGCATGCTTATTCTCAAGGACGGATGCTGAAGGGAAGGCGGTGAGGTCGGATCACAGGTTGTCATTGCAAGTCGATCAGTACGACAGATTACCCGGCTATGCTATACAAGTTCCAAGGATAATAATACATCTGTCTGCCTTGCTCGAGTGCACAATGTTAATATCATAAGAAGCACAAACATACCATCTCATTTTGAATTTAAACTGTAGTCCAATACTTTTCTGCTCATCTCGATTAATATGGTCGGAATACAAGGAGTTCGTTAAGTACATTGACAAACCTACTTAGTTCAAAATAAATTCAGCCTCTGTGTGTGTCTTTAAACATTTTCCTGTTGTGAGTTATCATAATGTGACGTCACCAGACGCTGATGTGTCGAGATAAAACTTGTGTAGTCTAAACATGAGGTGATAATGGATGCTTATAGGAATTAATTAAGTTAGAAATGGGGAACGGATACTACAGATGTGTTGATAGGTGATAGTTTCTTCCATTTGGGTCATTTTGTTATATGAATGAAGGTGAATATAAATGATATGATATTTGAAAGTTACAGAGAGCATCATTTGGAGCGGAAAAGGGCGTGACCACCGACGAAATAATACTCAATTATCTTCTAGTTACGGTAAATTATTATGTGTATAAATGTAAAATTCTTGAAAAGATCTGTACATTTAAAAACTTTGCTAATGAGTTAGAGTTCCGTGTACAAATCATTAAGAAACATAATAATGTAGTGATGTAATGATAGAGCGAATATCAGAAGCTCTGCCCAAGTAATGTCGACGTAGTTTGCACATTCTACGACCCGTGTAGGGTCTGGTGTAAAATCGTGGCACCAAAAATAAAAATGGTTGTAATTATATCAAGTATAAATGGTGTCGAGTACCCGTTGCTAGGCACTGCCTCCGATAATGATGTAGTGGGAGTGCAGATAGTTACATCAACAGCTGTACCGGGGGATGTATACTGACCACTGACCACAGGGCAGGTAGTGCAGATAGTTACATCAACAGCTGTACCGGGGGATGTATACTGACCACTGACCACAGGGCAGGGAGTGCAGATAGTTACAGCAACAGCTGTACCGGGGGATGTATACTGACCACTGACCACTGACCACAGGGCAGGTAGTGCAGATAGTTACAGCAACAGCTGTACCGGGGGATGTATACTGACCACTGACCACAGGGCAGGTAGTGCAGATAGTTACATCAACAGCTGTACCGGGGGATGTATACTGACCACTGACCACAGGGCAGGGAGTGCAGATAGTTACAGCAACAGCTGTACCGGGGGATGTATACTGACCACTGACCACAGGGCAGGTAGTGCAGATAGTTACAGCAACAGCTGTACCGGGGGATGTTTACTGACCACTGACCACTGACCACAGGGCAGGTAGTGCAGATAGTTACATCAACAGCTGTACCGGGGGATGTATACTGACCACTGACCACTGACCACAGGGCAGGTAGTGCAGATAGTTACAGCAACAGCTGTACCGGGGGATGTATACTGACCACTGACCACAGGGCAGGTAGTGCAGATAGTTACATCAACAGCTGTACCGGGGGATGTATACTGACCACTGACCACAGGGCAGGGAGTGCAGATAGTTACAGCAACAGCTGTACCGGGGGATGTATACTGACCACTGACCACAGGGCAGGTAGTGCAGATAGTTACAGCAACAGCTGTACCGGGGGATGTTTACTGACCACTGACCACTGACCACAGGGCAGGTAGTGCAGATAGTTACAGCAACAGCTGTACCGGGGGATGTATACTGACCACTGACCACAGGGCAGGTAGTGCAGATAGTTACAGCAACAGCTGTACCGGGGGATGTTTACTGACCACTGACCACTGACCACAGGGCAGGTAGTGCAGATAGTTACAGCAACAGCTGTACCGGGGGATGTATACTGACCACTGACCACAGGGCAGCTGTTCGCTGGGAGGTCACGACTGTGTATGTGGATTTGGGAAAGTTAGAAATCGAATTAAAAAATGCAGGTAAGATAAGATAAGATAATATTTTATTATTGTGTCACACGGCATACGTTACACTGGAATTAAAACAATTATCACAGAAATATGTATGGTCCGGCCTAAACTAAAGGTCTCTGAGACACAATATTAACTTGATGAAACAATAGGAGCACTCAACGTGCTAACATATCAAAACATATCAAAAATAGTGTTTAAATAATTTGCAGATACAAACATACCACGTCAACCATATTAATTCAATTCAACTAGGAGTATTTATACTTAGGGAACTCATGAGAGGGATTTCCTCCGCTTAAACACAGTGTTCACGACAGCGGCAAGGACTAACGATCAGTCATCACGCTGCGTTAAAAAGGCAAATTGATCAAATGGAGCCATGTCAACAAACAATGGATTAACAAAAGGCTTGATGAAGTAAACACGATCTTATATCAGAATAGAATTATAGTTAACTAAAAAATGAGCTTCATCTTCACACAGGTAGAAAAATTCTGTAAGGTGTGTGCGTGTGTGTGTGGGGGGGGGGGGGGGGGGGGGGGGGGGCTAAACGATGGCCGTATTATGCGTGACGGCAATAAGCTCTTAATAATTGTTAAAATAAGATTTCAAGGCCTTAGCAAAAGATAGCTTAATGTTATTTCTGTACCCCTCACTACTGGACATATCGACAGCTATCTTTCACAGGGTTCGTTCATTCAACTGCTAATGAGGCGGTTCTGGGGCACCTTGTCTTAGCGTGTGAACATCGGTGGGAAAACGACAGATACCTAGATATACAAGATGGATATCAATATAGAGTCTACTTGACCCTGATGGAGACTATTGCGCTATAGATACAGGGCCATTGCCATAACAGACACAGCAGTCACACAACATGATTGGACGTAAAAGAAGAATGAGAATATTTATACTCGCGAAACCTTGTCGGTGCTAGGTCTTTCAAATTCCAATTACCTACGAACTACTTGTGGATAACACAATTGTGTGAACGAAATATATAGCTCCAGAAGAACCAACTACCACAGTTATAACATAACGACTGGTGGTTGTACATTTCTCGATGACACACATGTTTGTGTGGTTTCAGAATACGCACAAGTATCGGTACCGCAACTCGTTTCTTTAAAACGATTGAAATAAAAAAAAAATTTTAATATTAATTAGTAAAGTTGAAATGGGAGCCGAGTAATTAAGCATTTTACCTTTTTCAGACAGTATCTGTGTTACAAAACACAATTTGATATATCATATTTATAAACCCACCGGTGCAACACAGATCTCTATTCACATTTCACTGAATATTATATTAAAAAAGCACAAGTTTCAACGATTTCTGCAATTTCAGAAATACCTCCTTATATAAATGAATGAGCGAATGAGTTAAATTAGACAAATCGTTAATACATGGGATATCTATTTTTAAAGGTAAAAAAAACAGTACAAGACAGTTACCCGCTTGCTAACATATTATTTGTCCATACCACTGATAATGTTTTTTATTTGAAAGAACCACTCCGTGCTCGTAGGTTTCACCAAGGCGGTAAACGTCTAAACCCAACATCACATCGGGCTTTCCTCCCACATCAAGCTGTAAACATATAACCGAAATACTGAAACAGCGTTAAACCAACTCACTCACTCGATCGCTATACCACGGACCTGTCATAGCACCGCAGACTACCTCATGTCGACAGGGAATTCACATAAAACATCGGAAATAGAAATAAATAGATAAAAGTATGAAATTATTGGCCATAGACAATCAGAAATTGTTCTTTTACGCAAACAAAAAACTCGTGAATATGAGATCAAAATTATGAACGAGCATTACAATGAATTAATACTTTAAACACAAACAGCATATCACGAGCTTACAATGTAACAAACAACAACATGCCTACATGGTTACATTGTAATTCAAAACCATAAATATATTATGCCAACAGCCGACTTGACAATGCAGGCAACACATGCATTATGCACCGGGCTTTATACATAGATTCAAATAAATCATTATGATGTACACATACGCACTGTCGATTTAATACTGTGAGGTCATTCGGTGCATTTCATCATCCTACTCTGGGGTGAGCGAGTACATTTCGATCGCCCGGGATTTGCTTAATTAATGTAATTTGTGTATAAAAGATCAGCTTCGCAGTCTAACCAGTCAGATGTAGGCACGCACCGATAAACTGTACCCTACGACCAAACTGTACTGCCTAAATATTATGTAGTTATATTTTCACTCGTGGTTGTTTACGACGGAATGTGTTGACACGGTCGGTTGTATATAGCAACACGCCCATAGACAGCAGCTGATCGAGCCGTGTGTATTTCATGCAAAGAGACAAAGGTTCAGCGCATCAACATACATATTTTTTTAAATCTTTCTGTCGGGGAGAATAGTTGTAATTGTTCCATTACACAGCTATGGAAACGAATTAAACATGGCTACATATTTTCCATATTGTAAGCACTGATTATAACAGTTAATATGTGTCTCCATGGCGGTGATATAAACGGTCGGGATGACATTAG